GGCCAGCCTGGACTACCAAGTGAGTTCCAGGAAAGGCGCAAAGCTACGCAGAGAAACCCTGTCTCGAAAAACCAAAAAAAAAAAAAAAAAAAAAAGAAAGAAAGCTGGAGAGGAGTCCAGCGATAGAGCGCTTGCCTGGCAAGGGCCGGATCCTAGGTTGGCTCCTTAGTATCAGGGAGGCAGTAGGGGAGACAAACTGCACACGGTGTCTCCTGGTGGAGACAGGCAGGGACCCGAAATCAAATGATGATACCTTTAAAAAAAATAAATAAGATTTTGTAAGAAGTGAGTGACAGAGACTGTCCCTGTTTAACCCTCTTAAATGCCAGCAAACAGATGTGTTGAGCACCCAGATGTGCCAAGCCCTGGGTGGGTGCTGTGGGTTCCCAACAATGGACAGGCTGCTGTCTTTTCCCAGCAGGAGCCCAGGCCCCCCAGCCGGACAGAGGGGTGGGTGCCCTGCGGTTCCCCCAGTCTCTCCCCTGCTGTGCACCCTACCCTGTCCAGGGGTGAGGAGTGGCTAGCCTCTGTGGGTCCTGGTGACCACCCTGAGTCAAAACCTCCAAAGCCTACCGTGCCCTGCCAGGCAGTGAGAGGTGGGAGGCCGGGCCCCCGGCTCGCTGCACTTGGAGGAATATGGCCTCGTGTTATACAATCTATCCTTTCTTCTCTGGCACACGGCAGCAGCCAAGGCAGCCGTTACCATGAGGGCAAAGGAACAGTGAGCCCCAGACGGATGGCGGTCTTGGTGGGCAGGCCAAGTCTCTAGAAAAGCAGCTGAAACCCACCGCAGTGTAGGGGGGGAGGGGGGAGGGAGACCACCTCTCTCCTAGGTCTGGCCCCCTGCATTCCTCCTCAGTCATGCTGCCTGGCCTTCCCTGGTGGCTGCAGCCTGCATACACTTCCCACACTTTCCCAGCATTCCCCAGAAATATTCAGGAGTGACACATGAGGAAGAGATGAATATGTCACCCACCGTGTGTTTCTGAGACTCTGAGAGCAGGGATGCTCAGTCTGGAGGAGCCTTGGCTGTGTGAACGACGACACTCCGGAGCCCCTGCTCTGGCAAGCCTCCCGGCTTCTGGGGATGAGCGAGGAGGAAGACAGTTATGCTGATATGTACACCTAAGGAAACGGATGCTCAGATCTGCTTGCCAGGTACCAGGAAGGAACAGAGCTGACGTTTTAACCCAGGTGTCCCAATGCCCCCTCCCAGACTCTTTTCACGGTGTTGGAATGGAAGAGAGTTCAAAGCTCAATCAGTATAACCTCAAGTTTTACAAATAACAAAGTCTGGGAGGAAAGTGGCAGACCACGCAAGAGTCAAAGCCGGGGCGCAACAGCTCAGGCCTCTGTCCCCAATTTGGAGGTTTTTCCAGCCTCTGTCAGCGATCTAGAAAGGCAGGTTGGCTAACATCACCTGTTTTGTCCCACCTCTCCACTCCCCACAGTTGCCATTGGACCAGTGGCTGAGAACTGAAGTGTCGCTAATGATGGGAAGATAAGCATCGTGTTGAGAAGGCCGGGCCCTGAACCTAGGCTAAGGCAGCCTTGGCAGCAGACTGGCCAGTGTGTTGAATAGGGAAGTTCCTGCCCTGCCTAAAGGCATCCAAATAAAATAAAGGAAAAATGAACTCCAAAACATACCAGCAGGGGTTTGTGGGAGCAGGCACAGGAGAAACCAAATTGGCCTGAGTGGGTAATTATCATTTATTTATTTATTTATTTAGTAGTTACTTTTGTTGTTGTTTTGTTTTGAGGTTGTCTCACTCAGTCTTCCAGGCTGGCCTCAAACTTGTAGTAATTCTCGGGCAGGCACCAAGTGCTGGGATTATTGGTATGAGCCAGCGCACCAGCATGAGCTGTTGATCCGGGTGTTAGGTAATGAGGTGACAGTCTCCTGCACAAATGTGTCTATGAAGCCTATGGGTGCAGCTCAGTGGTAGGGCACTTACTTGCCTAGCACGTTCAGGGCCCTGGAACTGAGCCCCCTAGCACCTAGCACCAAGGGGGAGATGGGGGGAGGGGAAGACAGCCCAGAATACAAATGTGTATGCTTTCACATTTCTATAAAGACCACTTTTGGACTAGTGTATCATGTCATGGTCACAAGGGTACCAATTTGCAAACTGTACCCTAGACCTTCCTGAAGGGCATCCTTCCTGGTGGTCCCATCCTTCCTCCACCTGTGTCTGCATGGCCTGGAGCCAAGGAGAGGGGAGAAAGGGATACTAGCTTGAGGAGGGATTGGAAGTGAAGTTGGTTGCCATCACTCCCAAGAGTGCAGGCTTTGGGGGTGTGGATGGATCCCCACAAGTGGACACACCACCTACCCACCCTGCCAGCACAGTGAGAAGGCAGGTAGCCAGGCAGTGAGTGAGGTTTACGTCTCCCCTCTTCTCTGGTAATTCCTCACCACAATCCCTTCTGAAGCCCTTCTGTCCCCCTAGTCTCTAAAGTGCCTCACACACAGTTATTTATCTCCCGGGACTCCCTGAGACACAGATGAGGAAACAGAGGCATCTCAAGATCAAGTGACTTGCCCAAGGTCACCCTTCACTTCTTGTGAGTGGAAGAACTGAAGGCTGTTGGGGGAGGGGACTGGGGGGGGGTGGTTCTGCAGGTCTCTGTTGACCTAATGATGACCAAGTGAGTGTATCCTCCCGAGGTTCTGAGTGGCAGGCTGTGCTGGATACTCCTTCAAGCCAAGTATGCCTGATTTTAGCTCGGGAGTCTTGTTCAGATTGGAGAGGTTCTGCAATTGGTTTCCAGGAAGGGGAAATGCATTGGGGAGGATAGCATCTCCTTGTTTCGGTCTCATGACCACACAGTCCCCAAATCTCACCTGAGTGTGACACAAAGCTGAAAGAAGACCCCCAACATTGTCCTCATGAACTAAGAACGATGATGAGGATTTACAATTAGAAATCTGCTTTAATTTGGCTGTGTGATCCTCGGGCCAGACTTGTCCCTCTCTGGTCTTCAGACTAGCCTCCTGGCCACCAAACCAGTTACCTCTTGTATCAGCTCACTGCACAGGGAGGCTCCACTCCCTCAGCAAGTTCCTGGAGAAGATGATGGGGAAATATCGTCACTGCTTCCGCTCTGAAAAGCATCCCGTGATGAGTTGAAGAATGAACACCAGGGATGCAAGGCTGGCGTTGGGAATTTAACAGGCCTGTGCTGGACCCAGCGACCCCGCCCCGCCCGCGCAGAAACAGTGGCTTGTTTCCAAGAGCTTCCCTCCCTAGATTTGGCTTGTTTTCCAAACACGGGTCAAATGGTCCCTCTCCAGAGCAGCAGGAGCAGGAAAAAGTTATTAAAAGTGAGCCGTTAGTGGGCATCGGGTGTGGATGAGGTCTGTGCAGTTTTGGCTGCCAAATAAAGACGGTATTGTTGTCATTCCCAAGCGCCCTCCCTCTCTCCTCTGTTCCCTCCTCCTCTCTGCCCTCCCCCCTCCGATCTGCCCCTCCCTCCCCCTAACCTAACCTCCCCACCCCAATAAGCTCTGGTAGAAGAAAGTCAGGCAGACACACGCAGACACACACCACTGGGAGACCAGAACTCCTAGCTGGCTCTCTGCTGCCACAGCTCCACCAAAGGGTGAGGAGGAAGAGAGGAGCGCCCCAGAGTCCAGAGGAGAGGCAGGTGTGTGCAGGTAAGCCCAGGCAGTGGGGAGAAGACTGGAGACTGGAAGGCTCCTTCCTCCAAGGGTTCCCTCTAGCTCTGTCCAATCTTTCTTTCCTCCCTCCTTCCCTTCTTCCTTCCTATTTTTCCTCCCCACAGAGCCCAGATGTAGTCTTCCTCATTTCTTGCTGGCACCCTCACGTCTCCTCAGCATCCCATACCCCTGTGTTTTGCTTGCTGCAGAAGTGAAACTTTCCTCAAGTGCTGATGTTTGTGGAACACACAGAGCTGTGTCGCACACAGAATTTCAACAGAGCAGGTGTTGCCATAGAAACCGGACACCGGAACCCAGTTCTCTGCACCTTTCATGTACTGTCTGTCACACATGGCAGAAGACAGACAGACAGACAGACACACACACACACACACACACACACACACACACACACACACACACACACACTGGGTCTGGCTCTTACCCTCTCACATGCCTCCTCAGCTGCAAGACCAGAGAGAAAGTGTCCTCCCGCTGAGATGACAGAGCCCAAGGACAATCACGTCTTGGCTGAGCAGGGAGGACATGAGCAATCGGGTGGTTTTCTTCTTTCTTTTGAGCTTAATTAGGTAGGAGGGAGAGAAAAGTGGCCCTCGGGCCTGCACAGTATCTCCTCAGCCGCCTGAATTCCTGCCTCCCTGGTCCAAACCACTTGGCTTCTGCAAAGAGAAGTCCACGGAGCCTGCAAGTCTTGGAGGCCCTAACTCCAAGTTAACAATTTTTCTTTTCCCTGCAGGTAGTCAGAAACACATTTCTCTCTGAAGTTATTCTGAAACTGTCCTGAACGTTCAGTTGGTAAGGGGGCTTCAAGTAGAGAAAGGAGGAGGGGACCTGAGAGCCTTGTTTACATAATTTCCTCCTCTCCGGCAATGGAGGGGCCCCATGGCAGCAAGAAGGGTAATTTTCAGAAGCCCCTAGACAGTAGACAGGGCATCCGGAAGCTTTGGCCAGACACTCACTACTGACCCATCAAACAGGGCCAAGGAGCCCAGAGCTGTTTTAATGCACCCTGAGACTCCCCTACGTGTTCAAGGTACAGATGGCTGTGTGGCTTCCTGGAAAAGGAGCCCCACAGTCCTAACAATGGGGAATGACTACTGGAGGGAACAGGTACTCTCATATGATTGCTGCTGCCCCCCACCCCCACCCCACCCCCTCACTGCCTCCAGTAATCCTGGGCAACCATATTCCTGGAGAACATTCTAGAAAGAAAGGAAGTCACCTCAGGATAGCTCCTCTTACCTGCTAGGTTACCCATCCCAGGCACTCAAGAGCTGGTACTGGGTGCTGTTTCCATCCCTTTTAGATCCTCTCCCCATGCTCTGTGCTGTTCCGCTCTCTCAGAGGACAGACTAGTTGGTGGTAAGTCCCTTACCCACCCTACCTCCCTGGAAGGCATGTGAGTAGAGCATCTTGCGGCTAGAAGGAACAAACAATGGTAGGCTGGGAGAAGCCACAACCGGCAGAAAAGAGAGATGTCCCCTTGCTGGCCAGGGTCCCTACCTGTCGCAGACAGCAGAGAGGTGGGCTAGACCGGTCAGGATGGAGATGCAGTGAGCTTGGCCCGGGTGTCTGGGGAGTTCCAGCCAGCTGATTCTGAATGCCAAACGAGGTCTTCTGGGCCTCAAAGGGAATGAGGTTTCTCTGAGAGGAAGATCTAGTACTGTACTTCAAGAAAGACCCCTGCCTTCCAGCGGTAGAGGGGTGGAGGACATTAACCAACCACGTTGATAGGAAAGCAAAACAAACAAACAAAACCATGGATTCTAAGTGGTTCCAGCGGCCCCTGGACATGCACTGAGCACACACTCTGCACATCAACCGATATTCATCCTCACCACATCCAGGCTGGGTCTGTAGCGCGGTGGGCGAGTGCTTGAGGAACATCCACGGAACCCTGGTTTTTGTCTTCAGCGCCTCAGAAGCGTCAAGCATGCCTGTTTTATAGGGGAGGAAACTTTTGTAGTGGTACCCAGCTAAGATAAGTTGCAGGGTGGAATCTGAACCTGTACCCACATCCAGTCTCACACAGATTCTTCTCGGCTTTAGTCAAGGATTGAAGTGTTCGGGGGAGTCGCAGAAGGGCAGATATAGGGGGCGGCAGGCTATTAGGGACTGTCTGTCTGTCTGATTTCTTCCCTGCCCCAGTGGGGAGCTTGCTCTTTCAGACTAGTTCCCTAAAACCATAAAACCCCCATTCTGTTTACATCCGCCTATTCAAACCAGAACGTGAAGGTTACTCTGTAAATAGTGCTAAGCTTGCCTTTAGGACTTTTTGTTCTGCATTGCCTTTTAAGTGTGCCGTTTACATCTGACAACTGGGTGGGCTTTGCCCAACCCCAGTTCATGCTATGCATTTAGAAGGACCACTCTCCCTGGACGGTACTGGCTCACAGTACCTCAGGCCCATGCTGCAGGAGTCCAAACACTGACAAGGCTGGGGTTCTTAGCACAGATTAACAGGATAGGTAGGAAAGAGGATGAGCTCACTTGAAACTCAGGGAGCCTCTCCCAGAGCCTGCTCCTTTGTAAACAAACTCTCTCTACCATTCGCAGAGTCTGCTTTCTAGAAGAACATGCCCTCAGATGCATGAGCTCATCCCACCCTCACACAGATGTCAAGCCTAGGGCCCAACGGGAGAGTCAGAGGCGGGATTCAAGCCCAGGTCCACGCTGTCAGAACTGAAATTTGAATTGTAAGATCTCTTAGGAAAGGCTTTGAAATGCAGAGCTTGAACTGGGGGTGGGCGAAGCAACTGCTTCTTCCCCTGTGAATCAGCAGCCTTTTGCGAGCCAGCGCTGGAGACCCCGGCTGCATGAGTTTGGTGCAGGGCATGGTCAACAAATGCCCATTGATGGAGGGCGAGCAGGGCCAGTATGGAGAGGGATTGGACGGGACGTGGGGAGGTATGCTTTCAGAGTCATTAGTGATTTTAAGCACAGACACCCCACCCTAAGGGAGCTAATGACCCAGAAGATGGGATCATAGGGTCCTGGCTCTGGGCTTTGTTGGTGAGACTACAAACCCCTCTGGAGTGGCCTTACCTCCAGTCTGTCTCAGCTCTCCTTTAGAGAGCGCTAGAGCGGCAGAGCTTGGCTAGAGAGACCAGCTCTGTAGTGAGAACTTCCCAGAAGGACAGCCAGGCTTGGCAGGAAGGGGTGTGCCTGTGAGGAAGGCCTTGGAAATGAACAGTTTCCTTGTGCACTCTGCACACAGATCTCTGGTTCAGCCCTGGGGCCTGAAAGAGGGGACAGCTGGTCCTCTTCCCCCATGGAAACTCTCCACTTCAGATCCAGGGAGCTTGTTTTGGAGACCCTCCTGGGCTCTAGCCCTGAGATCCAGAAGGAAGGGTTCTCCAAGACTCCAGTCTGGAGCTGAGGAAGGGGAAGGAAGGCCTGGGGACCCCATGCCTGAGCCAGACAGGGAGATTGAATGGGTTTCCTATTGAGATAGCCCCTGACAGTGGAGCCAGGGCTGCCCAGCACTGAGACCCATCCATGCCCCACCGACAGAGGCCAGCTGTCCGGGACACCACGCTTCACAGGGCAGGCTCTGCTGGCTCCCCTGGAAAGCTTTGTTTGCTTAACTTGGGGTCCATTACTTCACCTTGGAAGTGCCTTTGGTAATGAGGGCACAAAGAGAACCAGGGAACTTCAGTCCCTTGGGGACTGAGGCAAGGTTTCTTACAGCATGGGGGTAATTTTGTACATCACACACATGCACGCGCACACACGCACACGCACACGCACACACCCCTCTTTGACCCCACAGACTTCTGGGTAATTCATACTAAAGAGATTTCAAAGAACAGAAAAACAAATCAGGGTTGCAAAGACTGGTGCTTTTAAAATGTTTTTGGAATAGCAAGTCTTCCCTCTCTTCATTCCTACGTAGCATGACTGTTCTGTTCTCAAGAAAATTAAAAGCCTTATAAAAATGTGAATTCACAACACACCAGTTAGAGAGCGATGTGGAATCTAGCAACCAGGCTCCAGTTCAAGTGCTGCAAGGAACTGATCGTCTTTTTAGTCCTTTCAGAGAAGCCTCGGGGCGGATAAACCAAGAACCTAACCTTCTAAATGTACCTGAGAGGTTTGTCTGAGAAAACACACCCCAGACAGGAGAGAGAAATACCACATAGCCCAACATACAAAGCTCACACATGCATACAGGGCCCTGAGTGTGTGTGTGTGTGTGTGTGTGTGTGTGTGTGTGTGTGTGTGTGTAATGAATGTATATATAGAGTGGTACAGGGTGGGGTCAAAGAGGTGTGTGTGTGTATGTGTGTGTGTGTGTGTGTGTGTGTGTGTGTGTGTGTGTGTGTGATGTACATATACAGCTAGGGACAAGCACAGTTAGATTCTGCCCATTGGGGGCTGAGTTCTTCCTGCCTGCCTGTTAGCTGTCTCTCTCAGCTCCACCTGAGCATCTGATGCACAACTTGGGGACCCCCCTGGCCCCCTGCTCCTTTCCTTTGGTCAAAGCATGCAGAAGGTAGTCCCTAGAAAAAAGCAAAGGAAGATATGACATTGATATGGGCTCAGGAGGTAGGTGGGAGACGGAGGCCTACACTCGAGGCCGTGATCACAGGGTTCAATTACAAGCTGGGGACACACTTTAGCCCACTCTACCTCTGAGAACCCCAAGAAGTCCGCATTCCCAGAGCTACAGTAGTGAGGGAGATTCGAGGTGAGCCAGTGATGTGAGGTGAAAAGTATCAGCAGAGAGGAGCTGAAGGGATACAAAGTGCAGGGCCCTCTCCCTGGGCCCTTCCTACCCTAGGTGGGAGAAGGGAGCCCCTGGGAGTTGCCACTCTCTAGCTGGTACGGATTATTCAGCATTTCCCCTCTTTCAACCACACAAGGCAGCAGAGCCACCCCAAAGCCCCTCCAGCTCTTGATCCCAGGGTCCCCGAAGCTACCAAGAAGTTCTTCCTAGTACTCCATCTCAACACTACCCATTCCCAAGTGCCTGGAGCGACCATACCAGCGCTAAAGAGAGGAAAGTGTTTTCCCCACGTCTCTCTCTTCGTTCCTTTCCTGTTTATTTTCCCAAGGGCCTCTACATCTGGGGAGGAATTCTTGGCATGGCTCATGCTGGCAAAGACCAGCACTCTCTGGGCCAAGGGCAAAGGAGGGGACAGAGCCTGGGTGAGTGGGTGAGTGCCGGTGTCTGAGCATTGCCCTGTCAGGAGACCTCCTGGACTTTCTGTCCTGTGCCCCTGTCAAACGTCCTCCTGGCCTCCGCAGGTCACTTCTTTCCTCTAGCCTCAATTTTATAAACAGTGGGGGCTGGGCACGGTGGGTGGATTGCAGGCCATGTTTAGCAATGATGTTTTCCTCTTCAAACGCTTCGTCTAACCGTCCTCCCGTGTGTGTATGTGTGTGTGTGTGTGTGTGTGTGTGTGTGTGTGTGTGTTCTCTCGTCTTTCTCAGTATTTCTATCTCTGTCTATAACAGATTTAAGGAAAAAGACTGTTCAAGCCAGCACAGGAGTCACCTTGGGGGCCCCTTCTCAGTGTACCCCCTCAGGGGAAGCACAGGAATGTAGGCACAGTTTGAAAACCATTGCCGGATGGGAATTGTAAGGAATCTTCCTGGCCCACTGCTTAGGACTCTGGGACATATCCTAGTGTCCCCCTGAAAAGGGTAGGGAACTTTTCTTGGGGGAGGGATGATATAAAAAGTGTCCAGTGGATTTGGGGTGTCACTCTGTGGCAGAGCAGTCCCTTGAACACTTGCATTATAAGAGGGGGTGATCTTCTCTTGTTACAGCTGCAGAGAGCCCACCCCCCCAACCCCAGTTAAAGGTCTCCAATACGCTTTAGGACTCTGGGTTCCCAGCCAGCACCTTGTGCTTTCTACTAACTTTCACCTTCCCACAGTGGGGGGGGGGGGGTGTTCGGCAGTTCAACAGCCTCAGGTCCTCACCTGTTCTTCAGGTCCCTGGCTCTGCCCCTTTCCCCAGGATTTAGTTCTGGAGGAGCCCTGCTGCAAAGGCATGCCTTCCTCCTCCTCCTCCTCCTCCTCCTCCTCCTCCTCTTCTTCTTCTTCTTCTTCTTTCATTTATTTATTAATTATGTATACAGTGTTTTGTTTGTATGTATTTCTGCATGCCAAAAGAGGGCACCAGACCTCATTACAGATGGTTGTGAGCCACCATGTGGTTGCTGGGAATTGAACTCAGGACCTCTGGAAGAGCAGTCAGTGCTCTTAACCTCTGAGCCATCTTTCCAGCCCAGAAGCATGCCTTCTATTCCTGAGGCCCAGCAGGCTAATTATTCCATTTCCTCCCTGCAGGTACATCACCTGGATCATGAGGGCATCCCTCTTCTGGCTCCTCCCACTTCTCCTCATCTTGGCCTCAGTGGCCCAGGGCCAACCAACAAGACCAAAACCGGGGGCTCGGCGGAAACCCAAGCCAAGGCCCACACCCAGCTTTCCTCAGCCCCACGAGCCAGCAGAGCCTACAGACCTGCCTCCACCCCTCCCTCCTGGCCCTCCATCTGTCTTCCCTGACTGTCCTCGGGAATGCTACTGCCCCCCTGACTTCCCATCAGCCCTCTACTGTGACAGCCGAAACCTTCGCAAGGTCCCCATCATCCCGCCCCGCATCCATTACCTTTACCTGCAGAACAACTTCATCACGGAGCTCCCTCTGGAGTCTTTCAAGAACGCCACCGGCCTGAGGTGGATCAACCTGGACAACAACCGGATCCGCAAGGTGGACCAGAGAGTGCTGGAGAAGCTCCCCGGCCTGGTATTCCTCTACATGGAGAAGAACCAGCTGGAAGAGGTGCCCTCAGCTCTGCCCCGGAACCTGGAACAGCTGAGGCTGAGCCAGAACCACATCTCCAGGATCCCGCCGGGTGTGTTCAGCAAGCTCGAGAACCTGCTGCTCCTGGATCTGCAGCACAATCGGCTGAGTGATGGTGTCTTCAAGGCCGACACCTTCCAGGGCCTCAAGAACCTCATGCAGCTCAATCTGGCCCACAACATCCTGAGAAAGATGCCACCCAAGGTCCCCACGGCCATTCACCAGCTCTACCTGGACAGCAACAAGATTGAGACCATCCCCAGTGGA